TTGGCCGAAGTGTCTATGATGAAAGTCCTGAAAACCGCGCGTGTACATTGGCGTAAATCCCGCGGACGAAATTTATATAAAATGGCTACGTTTATATGGGTCCCGTTTTACGGTTTCCTCCACACGAAATTTCCGAGAAAGGTTGGATTTGTTTTGGAATTTCCTAAGTATGATTCACTGCCCCATTTTCTATTGTAAAGGACATGATTGATAATTGTGATATTAATCAGGTATCATATGATCATGAGAAAGAATAAATGAAATACTTTGGCACGAGTATTGCATATGCATTCACCTTATACCTTTGTCAAAATTCATATGTTGTGTTGGATTTTTCTACTGGTCTTTGGCTCACCCTATATGGGAAAAACATTTTAAGGTGCTGGTGATATGCCTCCGCCAATGTAATAGCTTGGGAGGACTTGGAGCAAGAGCTTCATTTTTGTTTAATTGTGTATTTGTTTTGTACAAGCCAAGGGCCATTAAATGTACTAGATTTAAATCTATTTTGTTGTAACCAAGTACTGGTTTGGAAAGTTGTAAGCCTTTAGGGCTTTCTCTTATAATTGTTTATCTTTCATTTTACATTTTCATCATGTAATATATGCTATAGATTCAAGGTTAGACTTGTGAATATATATCCGCATATGTTGCACTTTTGTACAAGAAACTAAAAGTTAATGAAAAATAATTATTTCATCTTATGTTGTTGTTCAATTAATATTGTAGGCTGGTTATTGTATTTATTTCGGAGCGTCACAGAATTGTTTTTTCATATTAAACTTTTAGCAAAAATATTTTTTTTGGTATAATCTTATTAGCTATTTTAATTTATTTTGTTTTTATTGGCTATTTTAGCCAAAAAAAGCCTCTCAACTCAAGTTCCCACACACCCAAAAAGTTTTAGGGTTAAGAGAAACGGAGTGCCATAAAACCAAAAACACCTAAAATTAAGGAGGAATTTCATATTAGTGATAATTTTGAATAATAATAATAATAAATATATGTCAAATTTTATAAATACTGATAATTAAAATCATAAATTTCTGAGGGCCTCTATAACGCCTTTCGACGAGAGTTTAGGTCGCCTCATTTTCCCATATTCTAGTTCTTTTGAGGGTGCCTTCAGCTTGGACCAAGACAGCGCTCATAGAGAAGCTCAATCTTATATCAATGCAAGAAGCACATTGACAGACATTTAGTAAAACTTTTAGTAGAATATTTGAGGTCTCTAACATTACTCATAAACAAAATACATTCTTTACAGTTCCGGTGAAGTTCATAGGTGGTGGTGGCATTTGGGGAATACTACCCAAAAACGTTGGAAGAGGTGCCCCGTTGGTTGTTCGACCTAGCCAAGCCAACCACTAGCTGAGCTTGGCCTGCCTGCCACTTGCTTGATTGTTCACACATTTTTCAAAAGAAAAACTTCTTGTTTGTGTTTTTGGTTATCAATCATATAGTTATTGGTATCCGATTAATATGAATTTTGGTAGACTTGAAGTACTCAACAAACCCTACAAAATGAACGGTTCAGATCATAAAAATAATCCCATAATACATCACAAAATGAAACACAACAGTCACTGATGTGCCTTTGCCACAGCAGTGACCCCAATTCCGTTCTTTCTTTTTGAGGGTGCCTTCAGCTTGGACCAAGACAGCACTCATAGGGAAGCTCAATCCTATATCAATGCAAGAAGCACGTTGACAGGTACAGGACCTTATAAACAAAATACATTCTTTACAGTTCCGGTGAAGTTCATAGGTGGTGGTGGTGGCATTTGGGGAATACTACCCAAAACGATGGAAGAGGTGCCCCGTTGGTTGTTCGACCTAGCCAAGCCAACCACTAGCTGAGCTTGGCCTGCCTGCCACTTGCTTGATTGTTCACACCAACCATACGTGCCGTCAAATTCGCAACTTCAATTTCTTTTTCTTCTAATTAGACGCTCAAGTTTTTTTAACTGGAATGGGTCCAATTCAATCTGTATTTGGATCTAGCAATTAGCTGATTAAGATCAACTGCCTCTACAATTGATTGTTCTTAATCTCAATCCTATAGGAATCTTGGTCTTGATAAAACCGAATGAATATATAATAATTTTATAGAATTACCCTTGAATACTAATTTCTCCCAAAATCAATCCAAGGTTGGACCATAAAGTAATGAAATATGTTATATATATATATATAATCTTATTTTTTATCTCATTTTTTCGCTTTAAAATATGAATGTAAATTGAGAAAAAAAAGGTAAGAATTGAAATTATCTATAACATTACTAATTGATTTAAGATTTCAATTCCCATTTGTTCTAAGGGCCATATCACAACTTATGTTGAATAAATATTGGTCTTGTTTGGGAAGACGGTTGGAGGCTACTAAAATAGTCAATAAAAAATAAAATAAATCAAAATAGTCAATAAAATAAAATGTCACATTTAAATTATAATCATTTCATCTTTTTTTTCACAACCATTAAATCAATTATAAAAAAAGCCAACTAACTTTCCAAACATTACTTTTTTAACCAAGTTATAATAGTCAAAAAAAAAAAAAAATTTAAAAACCAACTAAAATAACTAATATGTAACTAGTAAAAAATTAGTTAAAAAAATAAAAATAAAAACTAGATTTGACCAAACAAACCCTAATAAAGATTGTAAGCTCGCCTCCCAAAATTTGAATGGACTATGTGGGTGTTTGATGTAGCTTAAAAATAACTCATTTTAACTTTTAGCTTCATTTACGTTGAAATGGTCATTTACGTTGAAATGGTATGTTTGGTGTAGGGGTGTTCGCGGATCGGTTTTGTGCGGTTTGCGGTTCGGTTTTGACCCGCTCGCATCTATGCGGTTTGAAAAAAAGTCAACCCGCAACCGCCCGCAGTGCGGTTTGCGGTTTATGCGGATAGGGTTTGCAAATGTGAGGGCGGTTGCGGGCGGTTTGCGGTTTACACTTTTTTCTTTAAAAATTAATTTTCAAGTTTTTTTTTCCCAACGAATTTAGGCATCAGATTCATTTTATATATTTGTGATAACAATTTTTTGATGAGTTTATAAATAAAAATTGAATATCAATGCATTAAATGAAAGTACCCAAAACAAAGAGACCCTACACTAGCATTTTTGCCATGAAAAAAATGTATATCAATGCATTAAAGGTTGTACTCAATTAGAATTGCCAGTTCAGTAATCAATAATCAAACTATAATGAATATATAATAATAATTTTATAGAATTACCCTTGAATAGTAATTTCTCCCAAAATCAATCCAAGGTTGGACCATAAAGTAATGAAATATGTTATATATATAATCTTATTTTTTATCTCATTTTTTCACTTTAAAACATAAATGAGTGAGTTTCATATATATATATATATATATATGAATGTAAATTGAGAAAAAAAAAAAGGTAAGAATTGAAATTATCTATAACATTACTAATTGATTTAAGATTTCAATTCCCATTTGTTCTAAGGGCCATATCACAACTTATGTTGAATAAATATTGGTCTTGTTTGGAAAGACGGTTGGAGGCTACTAAAATAGTTAATAAAAAATAAAATAGATTAAAATATCAATAAAATAAAATGTCACATTCAAATTATAATTATTTCACTTTTTTTTGTCACAATCATTAAATCAATTATAAAAAAAGCCAACTAACTTTCCAAACATAACTTTTTTTAACCAAGTTATAATAGTCAAAAAAAAAAAATTAAAAAAACCAACTAAAATAACTAATATGTAACTAGTAAAAAATTAGTTAAAAAAATAAAAATAAAAACTAGATTTGATCAAACAAACCCTAATAAAGATGGTAAGCTTGCCTCCCAAATTTTGAATGGACTATGTGGGTGTTTGATGTAGCTTAAAAATAACTCATTTTAACTTTTTGCTTCATTTACGTTGAAATTGTGTGTTTGGCGTAACTTACAAGGTAGGAACTTATAACTTATTGCAACTTAAATATGAGAAAAAAAGTTGATTTCAAAAAGCATCTCAAGGAGTGTTTTTCAAATTTAAATTACACGGATAGCTAAAATTGGAAAAATTAAAATACTTAAATGACCTCTATCATTACAAAATATTACCATTAAACCATGTATATAAACTCCAATTCTACTCTCTCTCTCCTCATTTTATGTTTGAGAGGTCCCGTTTATTTTCAGATGTAGAATTGAGCAAATTGATAGTGAAAGAATTAATAATCAAGGGATTGTTAGTGAGGGGATTGATAGTGAGGGGATTAAGTAAAATTGTGTTTGTTTTTATGATGGTTATTAGTGTAGGAATTGTTAAATTATTTTTGTCTAAAATAAATATAAAATAATAAAACAAACAAAAAAATACAAAAACATTAAACATTAAACATTAATGTTTTAAAAAAAATACCCAACATGTAAAAAAATTTAAAAAAATAAAAATAAAATAAAAAATTTCCAATAAAAAATAAAACAAATAAAATAATAATTTTTACTTAACAAAAAATACAAAAAATTAAATATTAATGTTAAAAAAAATACCCGACATGTAAAAAATAAAATAAAAAATAAATAAAAATAAAAAAATTTTAGTCCGCCGGATTATTTTTCTAATACGAAGTTCTGGAGATCCATCCGAATTCCCTTAGGCCCCGTTTGTTTTGGGATTAAATAGATAGCAGGGGATTAGAATAGAAGTGGTGTTATTTAAGTGTTGTGTTTGTTTGTAGAGTTGGGGAGGGGATTAGAATGGAGGAGGTGATATAGATGGAGGTTGAAAGGGGGATTGAGATGGAAGAGATAGAGATAGTATTAGAAAAATAGTGAGGGAATTAGAAATTTTTTTCTTTTTTTTATTTTTTATATATTGAGAATTTTTTTTAAACATTAATGTTTAATTTTTTATATTTTTTATTTATTTTATTATTTTATATAAAAATAATTAAATAATTTCTATACTAACAATTATCATAAAAAATAAACACAATTTCATTTAATCCCCTCACTATCAATCTCCTCCCAACTTTCAAAACAAACCCAATATTAGTTCACCTCACTCCTTGTCCCAATCCCCCTCTCACTGTTCAAACAAACGGGACCAGAGAGCTCTAGAGAGAACCAAAGAGCTCTCACGTTTTTGCCCAGATCAAACCTCAACCTGCGAAGATCCAAAGCCGATCGGAGGCACCATTATCTCCGACGAAATCTGGACGACTAAACTTCACCCCATCTCCGATGAACTGTAAGTTTTGATCTTCTTTTTGTGCACAAGCAATTATATATATATATATATATGTATGTTTACAGTATGGAAAAAAAAAAATTTGTTTAAGGTTTTTTTTACTTAATGAAATCCAAAACTTACTACCCTAAACTTACTAATTTGTGGATTTAAGTTATGATTTATGAAATTAGGGAAAACCATTTGAGTTTTAAGATTTTTTTTTTTTATTTACAGCCAGTTATATATATATATATATATGTTTACACTATGGGAAGAAAAAATTGTTTAGGGTTTTTTTAATTGTTCTCTTTTTCAATGAAACCCTAAACTTACTAATTTGTGGATTTAAGTTATGATTTATGAAATTAGGGAAAACCATTTGAGTTTTAAGATTTTATTTTTTTCATTTACAACCAGTTATATATATATATATATATGTTTACACTATGAAAAAAGAAAATTGTTTAGGGTTTTTTTAATTGTTTTCTTTTTCAATGAAACCCTAAACTTACTAATTTGTGGATTTAAGTTATGACTTATGAAATTAGGGAAAACCATTTGAGTTTTAAGATTTTATTTTTTTTCATTTACAACCAGTTATATATATATGGTTACACTATGAAAAATAAATGTTTAGGGTTTTTTTAATTGTTCTCTTTTTCAATGAAACCCTAAACTTACTAGTTTGTGGTTTTAAGTTATGATGATGTAGTTATTGTTTTTTTTTTAAAAGCAAAATATAAAAATGAAAATGATAAAGTGAGCCCAATCACAAATAGCCAATGTGGGTGGATAGCTAGAGGGGGGGTGTCCACTTGTTGATAATGAATCGATTGTTTTTAGATCTCGCTTATGACTTTCAGCTGTTGAATCGATTGTCTGGTAGTTTTTCCTAGTTATGCTCTGTTGCAATTTTGTTTACTGATTTTGGGTGTATGATTTTTCTTAAAATAGACCTATTAAATCCAATATATTTTCTTTAAGAATTTATTTGGGAATTTTGGGTCTATGATTTTTCTTAAAATGGACATATTAAATCCAATATATTTTTCTAAGAATTTATTTGTGAAAGTGATCATTAATTCCGAGCTTTATTTTTGCCTCATGTTGATATATGATATTCAAGGTTTAGGTCATCCCCATCTTCAGTTGCCTGCAAGTGCTTTACTTGTGTTGCTTCTGTCATTTCATTTCACACAAGTAGTTGGGTACTTCAACTTGTTTTCTATACGTGGTCTAGAATAGATGGATAAAAGCACATTGGTCTGCATTACTCTGTTCATGACCTCATGTATGAGGATTGATGTTTGTTTGTTTGCTGGGAATTACTGCTGGTTTGGTGCTTGTTTAGGCATCTGCTTGGTTTCTCACCTTACAAATATTGCTACTAGTTTACTGCTTGTTTGTTTTTCTTGTTTAGTTCTCATATGTATATATGATTTTCCATTAATAAAGTATTCCTTTTTCATGAAAGCAATCAAGGTAACTTTTCAACACAATCAATGTTAACAATCAAGGTTACTTTTCAACACAATCAAGATTTTCCATCAATAAAGTATCCCTGTTTAGTGATTTCAATTTCCTTAAATTTACTAAATTTTGTACGAATCTTATATTCTTATGCAATCAATGATATGTCCATCAACTTGAATATTATTTTTCTTGATAGAATGAGTACCCCAGTGGAATCACAACCCCAAAATAAGAAGAACAAGGGCAAATCCTCCCAAGTACCAGCTGTCAAGGCTCATTGGGATGGAAAAGCAAATTAAAATTTCATTAAGCTTTGTGTTGAGCAAGTCAGGGCTGGACACAGACATGGTACGTACTTAGATAGAATTGGGTGGGAAAAAAGTGACAACTAAGTTTCAAATTATGACTAGAAAAGCTTACAGTAGATTGCAAATAAAAATCATTGGGATATCTTGAAAAAAGATTGGCTTTTATGGAATAATCTCTTACGGGGTGAGTCAGGCTTAGGCCGCGATACATTGACTAGAGCTATCATTGCATCTGAAGAGTGGTGGACAAAAAAATTGGAGGTCGGTATCTAAGTAAATTAATATTCTTTCTTAAAGTTCTAACATTTTTTTTTTATGTAAACCATAATTTTTCTTTCTATATTGTTCCACAGGTATCCTGATGGTGCAAAATTTCGGCGTGCCCCCTTGCAATTTATCGAAGACATAGACATAATGTTTTCAGGTGCAGCTGCTACAGGGGAATGGGTATACACCCCTAGTTCAGGAGTTATGCCTAGTGCTGGTGATACTCAGGAGGAATTTCATACCCCATTTGAGGGTGAGTTTGATGATTATAATGGTGCTGATTTGGAGATTCTTCGTCTTACTGAATTAAACAGAAAGCGTCCATCCAACGAGTGTTTATCGAACAAGGGAAAGACAAAGAGGCTGTCTGGAGCCAATCTACTTAACAAGACACTTGACCGTATTGTGAATGTGGTTGAGTCATCTTCTATACAGTCAACACAGAACTCCACAAAGTATCCTTCAATTGCAGAATGTTTGGAGAAGTTAGAAAACATACCTGGTGTGACCCCGGAAGATGACATATACGTATGGGCTGCCACATTATTCCTAAAAGACAAGCGTTGGTGAAGTGCGACTGAGGCTTCATGATACTTCCTATTGATGAAGTGTGACTGAGGTTTCTTAAGTTGGAGATTGATATGGAAAAGTCCACCGTATCTGGCTATCATGGATAAACTGATTATTTTAGTATTTGTGCAAGACTTCTTAATGCAGACTTATTATTTGTAGTGATGTAAGACTAATTAATACCTAAAATATTTGTAGTGATGATTCAAGTGTTTTTACTATTTTGTTGTCAATTTGCAAGCAGTGTGTTTATTCCAATGGAGAAGCTAATTTATTGCTTTTTTAATGCATACTGTTGACTTCTAAGGATGTAAAACAATTACTTTTGCAAGTGTGGCCAATGAATTTCACCTACCAACAATATATTCTTGTTGCCGGAGTTCAATAAATTTTGGCTGTCAACTACTAAATAATAAATTGTAGTGATGGAATTTTGTATATATAGAAGTGTATTTTCAGGTTTGTATACATGTGATCAACGAGAAAGCAAGTTGTTTGAGCAGATTTTTCTAGCAGGTTTGATTAGGTTTTTTTTATTTTTTTTTTCCTTTCATGTTTTATTTTTGAGCAGTTTTTTTTTTTTTTTTTTCTTTCATATAGTTAACCAGAGTCCACAATAAAGAAGCATGAATCAGGTTATGATGAAGACAAGTATGTACAAGTGTCTTAAATACAAACATGCATCACGGAATAAATTGTTATCAATTTATGCTGATAAGTAAGCAAAAGGATTGACACCTTCCTCATGAGCAGTTCTACTTTCAGGAGCAATGTCACTAAGAGGAGTTGATGCTTTTAATTCAGGAGCTAGTTTGGCAGGACCCACTGACTGTTGTATCATATGCTCCTTTTTTTTCCATTTTTTTCTTTTCATATACTTGTCTTCATCAGAATCTAATTCATCCTCCTTTTGTGGACTGTGGTTAGATATTTTTTTATTCATGTATTTTTATATATATATTAGATTCATTTTTATACATGTTGACAACTAAGTTTTGTGAATAGATATTTTGAATATGAGTAACAGTGGTGGTGATAATGAATGGAATGATGATGAGGAGGATGAAGATGGTGTTAATACATCACAAACTCAACAAAATAATATGCTTCTAGCAGCAGTGGCAACAGTTGCAATGACATATGCCAAAAATTATTTGATTAAAGAACCATGTGGGACATCTTCTCTAACAGGTGGCAAAAGATGGTAGAATTACAAGAGGGAAATCAAAAAGGATGTTATGAAAATTTTTGAATGGATAGAAATTTGTTCTACTAATTGTGTGATTTGTTACATTCTAACTAAGGCCTTAAAACTGGTAAAAAAGTTGGGATTCAAGAGCAGATGGCAATATTTTTGTATATTGTTGGTGGTGACATTCGAAATAGAAATGTCCAAGAAAGATTTCAACACTCGGACGAGACAATATCGAAATACTTCCACAAAGTGTTGAAAGCTGCTATAATGATGTCTATTGATTGGGTAAGGCCGAAACCAAGTAATGATGTGCATCCATATATAAGAAGAAACTGCAGATACTATCCTCACTTTAAGGTAATAATTACTTACAATTGTGAATTTTGTGTTGCATATTAATGTTGTTAGGATGATTCTAATAATTAATAAAAATATTTTTATGTGTGACACCTAGGTTTTCTAGACTGCTCAAGCGACACTTTTTTCATTCGAGCATAGATCTTCAGCTTCCAGTAGTTTGTCAATTTACAGGCGAGACCACTCGAGCGGTGGAGTTGTCACTCGAGCGTAGAATTCATTGTCCCAATATTTTCACTATAGCTCTACAAAACTTCTGGGACCTCTCATTTTTCGCTCAAGCAGAGGAAGTGTTGCTCGAGAGATCCTTTTGTAATTGTGCTATTTGCTCGAGCAAATGAAGTTGCGCTAGAGCAGTCTGTCGGGACAGCAGATTTTAAAAAAGTTGATTCTTACTAATTTTCATACCACTATTCTTACTCTCTCTCTCTCTCTCTAACCTTATTTTCCTAAAACCCTAGCCCATCCACTCTAGATTTCTCTAATTTCAACCTAAAATCCACCCAAAATTTTTCAAGAAAAATTGAAAGGAGGCTTAGATCAACATTTTTACCGATTGTTTTGTTAGCTCATTAACATTTCAAGTGTGGTTCTCAAGCCTAGCTTCCTATTTCGAGGTAGGGGTGTCTATAACTCGATATATTTTCAATTTGAACGACTTACATGGTAATTTCATAGTTATTCATGTGGTGTGTATATATATATATATGTATGTATATGTGTATAGATTGCGTTGTTAGTAAATGATTCGGAAATCAGGGGATAATACTTTATGATTGTGGTTATTTATGATGATTATTGTAGTTGATGGTGTAACCTAACCTTCAATTTTTGTAAAAGAGAGAGAACCCCACATTTTCCATAAACCCTAGTTTTGAGATTTGTTCAATAAAGAGGGTTTTTTCTCAATTGGCTTTAAAACACATGAAATTGAATGTATTTACTTAACTTTAAGGTTGGAATGTAAGATTTCAAATTTTTCTTTATATACACCTTGAAGTGGTGAAGGTTCTTAACGAGGTATCCTCCATTATTGATGTGTAAAGTAGTGAATTGTTATGATTAGAAATTATTGTAAGGAAAATTGAAGATTTATAAATTCCTTTTCGGACACTATGATGAAGTGATTGTTGAAAAGCGGAAGGGGGTAAATAGTCTATGAGTCCAGGTAGTGAATTGGGTTGGTTTTTGAGTCCTGCAATGTAATTGGTACCTGCGCGGGGGGAGTCAAGGTGCCTAATTGTCCTATCTGTGCATATCGCCGAACGAATATAGGAAAATGGTTTTTGGTGTTCACGAGCCCGTCATTTTTTGAGCCAACAAATGTGGAAGAGAAAATGTTTTTGGGTGCCCATCGCCCTACCATTTTTAGAGCTGGCAAATGTAGAACTATTTTCAGTATGCAAATCTATATCTACGTATGAAAGTTTCGAATATCGTCTCTCACTTGGGACGTGATAGTATGTTTACCACCCAAGGATTTTATGAAGTGATGGAACCATTTCATGCATTGCATTTTTTTACTCACATACATTTACACTTGTATACTACTTCCTTTATGTATTTTCAAATATGTTGCATTGCATGATCATGGGTTATTCAATTGGCTATATAACTTGTTAAATTCATCACCTACTAAGCTTATCCTCACTCCGAAGTTAAGAATTTCAGGAAATGAAGATGACATACCCACTAAGTGATGGCATTCATAAGTAAGGACCCTTTTGGAGCTTGATGACATATCTATTGAAGTTTTGTTGGGTTTGGCTATGATGATTGTAATTAAATGTTGATTTTGTGTGTTAATGTAGTAAAAGGCATATTTTGGAGGGAAGTCCATTTGGACTTTATTTTTTTTGTATATGTTTCTTGTCTATTGAACTGTTTTGCTTGTCGGGGATGCAATGGAACAATATTGTAACTTTTGGGAAATAATTCAATGGAAAAGAATGCTATGATCGCTGTCCATTGAGAATTTTTAACCAGCTTTTTGCCCACAAATCCAAGGCACTGTGTCTTGCAATGAGGACCACAAGTATTTTGGGATCTTTTAGAAAGTGGATTATAATCCTCTCTCACAAAAAGCAGAGTTTTTAATCAATTTTTAACAAAAATGCTGATTATAACCTTCTTTCCAAAATAGTCCTTTGTCAGTTTGTAAACTCCTTTAATATACAATTCTCCTTAACACCAAAATCAATAATTCAAGGACTATAATCAATGATTGGGGGAAAAAGATAAATAATTAATATTATTTACATTCTCAATATGTCGCAACACATGTATTTTAATTATCAAATAGGTAATAAAGTTAGAATACATAATTTATTGTCTGCTTTGATTGTATGTTTGAAATCAAAACATTCACACACAAGTGAAGAGCAAGCAATTTAACATGTGAACATGAACGAGCACTCGTATATTAGTACAAGTAAAACTGCCAATTAAGGAGATAATTATGCAGAATCAGAGAGATTACTGTGGATCAAGATTACAATCAACATCCCACGACTTTAGAACCATGTTAACATTCAAATCTTATTCCTTCTCACCCACATAATCCAATCACCAAAAGGCACTGGAATTACCTCGGATTGAATTTAATTTATACTCCCAGTGGAACGTCAAAACCAGTCGGCAATCTGCACAACATGGTCACCATCTTCTTTTGAAAATTAACCACCCCCCATGAAGCCGAGGTTAGATTTCTGCTGACAGTGATTACCAATCTGAATGTGTTCATATTTCAACCATTTGCATGCCTAATTCTAAAATAACCCTAGAATATGTATTTGTCCAGAGGTGCTTCTTCTGGAATCTGAAAGTAGAAAAAAAAAAATATACAATTAATGCATAATGTACGATTTTCCAAAGCATTAATAGTAATGATTCGAAATGGATCTTGAATAAAACAATGTGCAAACACTTATTATTGCCATGAAGGTCTTTAACTTTCGATTGGATCCATGGGAAAAACTCAAAAAAAGAACTTTTGAAAAATAATAATAATAATAATAATGCGAAAGGAAAATTAAGCATGAACACTAAATATAAATGTCAAATGAACAGTCTTTTACCTCTCCAGGATTCCATTCCTCTTTCAACCAGATGGCATCATCCACTGCACCATTCTTCCTTGTCATATTATCACTGCAGGATGGGAAAATAACCAAAGGTAATAACAAGCATATAATAAATTGTTCACAGTTTAGAAGAAAAAAATCCTACAAATTATAGATCAGATCTAGGATCGTATCCAAAGAACACTAATACAAAAAATGACAAGGCTAGAGACACCAGAATAAAAAATACAGAGTCAAGGCTGTAAGAAATGAATCAATGGTGCTTGATTATGACAGGATCTGATCCTACATGAATCTAAATGGTGAAAAACTAACTCGAGGTTGACCAACCAGTGTAATTTGGGATCCCCAAGTTTTCCCATAGAAAGGGTTCACATCATCTTTTATCATAAAATACAAAAAGATATAACATGCTGCTTTTCATGATCTTAGACTACATGAGCAAAAGGTAGGTTTACATCAATTAAGCCTTATGATGGGATCATTTTCAGCCACATCAAAATTTTGAACCCAATTTAAGGTTGGATCCAGGATGATAATAGTTAGTAAAACAATTTTAATATAAATGGATCTTTAAGTCAGTAAAGCCAAACCCACATAGAGGGAACTAGGGATTGCTGGCTTTCTTCTGGTTTAGTTCTTTAATAGAATACGGATTTTAATTGTTAATATATGTACTTCCAATCCAAAACTTCATAACTGATTTTTTTTTTTTTTGGGTTGAGAAAAAAAAACCCAAGAACTTACATTGTGTCCACATTCACAGATAATTGTTCAACTGCAGTAGAGGCAGAGTTTGGCCCATTCGGAAGTATGGATGACTGGAAACTTGCTGAACTTGGAACTTGTGGTGACACTGCCGAAGTAAAAAATGGGTTTCGTTCAGCATTAACGGCACTGTTGCTGAAGCTTGCAGCGTTGGAGGCAAAGGAACTTCCAAATGACTGGTTACGAAGTTGACCGCCAAATGAACCTACCACATGACTGAGTTATAGGCAGCGCACAAACATAAAGCATTCTAGTCTGTAACATTATAAGCTTCAAGTCTTACCTGAACTTCCAAATGGCGAGTTGTTGGTTTCAAACACATTAGTAGTCTGACTGGAAATTTGAGTGGAACCAAAAGCATTATTTGTAGGAGTAGCAGGCCTGAAAAATTAACCCAACTAAGTTAACAAAATCAAAGGGCAGACTTTGAATAACCCTTGCAACAGCATAAGAACACTAAAGCTGCCCTATAAATCAACAGATACCATCATTAGCAAGAAGATAGCTAAATATAAATTCAGATGTCGGGAGAAAATCTTGCCTCATTCCAAACCCCATATTAAGTGATGCACCGAGTTGACTGAAACTTGAAACTGAAGGAGGGTTGCTATTTTGAGCAGTCATTGAAGAGACACTTGGAGTGGCCCCAGGAAAAGCACTTTGGGTAGCAATAGAAGGATTTTGTGGAACTGCATAAGGATTACGGAGTAGGTTTTCGAATTCAAGCAATGTAGCATTGAGTAAATTCCTTTCTCTCTCAACCTGCAGCAAGACGAGATCAATGATTGGTCAATGAAGAAAGCTATCTATGCAGTAGCTTATTCATCAAAATGTACTGACACATCATTGATACATCTAACAAGTATATAACATTATGAAAAAATAGCTGCAGGAAATTTTAAACAAAAACTAGCACTTTTTATGATGGCCAATACTCTTTTAAAGGCTAAGTGGGGTCTAATACTATTTTTAAAAGGTTAAACCACCAAATCTTACTACTAACACTGCCGCTGGCTGTTAGCATGAGCGGTATATCCACCCATTCCTAAAGGGGGAGGTGCAAGCACACAAGATTGTGTGTCTTGGTATCTACTTTGGTGTAGATACAAGACCAGAAGTTTAAAATTAAAGCTCCAATTTTTCGAATTTCATTTGCATATGAAACTTGGTATCTACTTTGATGTAGCAGCAAGTAATGAATTTTGGAATGCAACATAAGGTCCATTTTTCTCTCTCCACCTGCAGCAAGACGAGATCAATGATTGGTCAATGAAGAAAGCTATCTATGCAGTAGCTTATTCATCAAAATGTACAGACACATCATTGATACATCTAACAAGTATATAACACTATGAAAAAATAGCTGCAGGAAATTTTAAACAAAAACTAGCACTTTTTATGATGGCCAATACTCTTTTAAAGGCTAGGTGGGGTCTAATACTATTTTTAAAAGGTTAAACCACCAAATCTTACTACTAACACTGCCGCTGGCTGTTAGCATGAGCGGTATATCCACCCATTCCTAAAGGGGGAGGTGCAAGCACACAAGATTGTGTGTCTTGGTATCTACTTTGGTGTAGATACAAGACCAGAAGTTTAAAATTAAAGCTCCAATTTTTCGAATTTCATTTGCATATGAAACTTGGTATCTACTTTGATGTAGCAGAAAGTAATGAATTTTAGAATGCAACATAAGGTCCATTTTGAAGATTGCACCAAATATAATGTTAACGGTAAGTAAGCTGTAATTTATGAAGTATAGTAGTGTCAAATGTGGCATTTCTTATATTCTTACAATTGACTGCAAGCACAATCCACGCTTGGCATCATCATATGCTGCTGCTCTCAACTCTTCGTAGCTAACATCACCAATGATGTCACATGGAGAACTGCAAACAAAGTAATTTGATAGTTATGCCGATTGTTATGCTGATGATGACAATAAAGTAGCAGAATACAGTAGACTTGAAAAATGTTTAAGGCGCATCCTTCCAATAAGACGTTTCTTAATAGGTGTTCCACATCACCTTCCCTTCCCCAAAAAAGGAAAAAATACTGTCCCCAAGTACGATTTGTTCCCCAGTTCTTCTCATCAATTTATGCACAACATTTTCCCAACTAAATTTTCAAACTCTTAGTGGAAGTTTGAAATCCCAACTTTCTCAAAATGCCTGTGAGAAACATTGCTAGTAATATATACTTAAAAACAATGCCCAATTAGTACACATTAATATATGTTTGAGGGGGGAAAGATTGGATACACACCTAACATTTGGCATAATACACAAAGCGGTTGCCCCATGACTTGAATCTATAACCTCAAGGTTATTAGGCCAAGGTTTTACCATTGAACCAATGGTTGCCCCGTGCTAGTAATATATACCTCTTAAGGAAATTTAGAATTCGAACTCTTAGTATAAGTCTGAAATCCCAACTTTCTCAAAATGCCTGTTGGAAACATTGCTAGTAATCTATACCTCTTATTGTGGCCATAACATGTAAGCTTCCAAAGCGGTCTCTCATGCTGAAAATCTTCAACTATTTGCTGTTTGCATGACTCAGGATCTGTGCATCTTCATGTGCAAGAAAATTGTATTTGATCAGGTATTTTGCATCAACCAATGAAGAATATGAAATAACATATTCAGCAAAGATGTAAAGCTGCAAAAAGAGAAGTAAAAAGCCATTGATCAAGCACTCACTTATGATTAGCTGTCGGAGGCTGATTATCTGGTTGTCGTGACACTTGCGAGCCACCATTACGGGTCCACTTATTTTCAAAAGGCTAATGCACAAGAAAATAATTTCAAGCAACAAGAATATAAACACAAGTCCCTGTAAGTTTTTACACCAAGTTACTCGGCAGAGAAACATGCCATGACTTCACTGACATTATACATAATTACATATTACATCAGAAAATTAAATAAAAAGGGTAAATTACATTGACTCCCCTAGACTGACCTCCCTTTTAATACGACTAAAGTGACCAAAATTGATACAGATAGTGTGAAAATACAAAAACAACAAAATAAGGTATATATTTCAGTATAAAAGATGTGACAATATCATTTTCTATTCATATGACTAACAAATTACTGATGAAAAAGGGAGCAAGTGTTATGTGACGTCTATTCCTAATTCCAATAAATGAAATGTAGGGATCCATATCTAAACATATTATCTATTTAGATACACTCGAATAACCCCTTCTCCCTATTCCAGTCAAGTCCGGTATGGAATGAACTTATAATCCTGGAATCGACTCAATCATCAGATTATATATTATAAGTTCATAACCCTAGGCCGGTCCCATTTTGGACAGAAAATACCTACTGATTCTTTTATTCCAGTCAGTAAGAGTGATTGTGAACTAAGAAATAGATCCTAGAAGCTAAAAAAGGGCATCCTAAGCTACTGCAATAATTCAAACTTTAAAACTTGGCCATGTTTGATTCACAATACTAATAGTGAGGTATTAATAATCCTATCAAATTAGTGTGGTATTAACTATCCCACCCCTACCCCATTACTAATAATCCTACAAATTTGTTGGATTAATTATCCATTATATATTATAAGTTCATAACCCTAGGCCGGTCCCATTTTGGACAGAAAATACGTACTAATTCTTTTATTCCAGTCAGTAAGAGTGATTGTGAACTAAGAAATAGATCCTAGAAGCTAAAAAAGGGCATCCTAAGCAACTGCAATAATTCAAACTTTAAAACTTTAAGGGAGTCCAATGTAATTATGTCAAACTTGTAGGCCTTATTGGTATATTCATCAAACTTCAGGAGAAGTCAGTGTAAATTACCCAAATAAAAATGTAGCAGTTCTAATACATAGCAACATAAATTGAGGGAAACAAAGAAAGAACCTTGAACTGGTTCTGTTTGGATCCAAAATCATTGGGCACTCTTGGCTGAGAGCTGCCGTGAACACCAAATCCAAAAGGATTGGGCTTTTGCTGCTGCTGTTGTGAATTTAAGTGATGAAATGGTGTGGTAGATTGCGCACCATATCCAAAAACATTAGGTTTAGGCTGTTGTTGTTGTTGAGCTACATGAAGAAACTTACACCGATCACCATACTGACAACTGCAAAATAAATAAAATTAAACGAAAAAAGGCATGAATTGATTTTTGAAATTGAAAAGATGAAATACTGTTTATGAGTATGAAACCCTAATGCAGTTTCGAAGAAAAAATAGAAAACAACCGAGAAACCATTGAAGAGGAGGGTGAAGATGAATGGCGTACCTTCCACGCTGAAAATTTCTACAGAGTTCTCTCCTCGGAGGCATATTCTTGAAATCTCTCTCTCTCTCTCGCGTTAACTTCTCGGTTCCAATAGCTTTGAATGAGAGATTGCAGAGAAGCAAACTAGTTGAACCTACACTCGGCTTCGATGATCGGGTGATCTGGACAGAGGAAAGACATTTTTTGACAAATTAGATTGGAAGTCCTTGAGGTTTTTCAGTAATACGTCGTTAATACCTCTGTTGTTCTATGATTCACATACGGAAAACAGCAGGACCGTGATTTTTTTCTGAAGTTTATTAGAGTGGTTTATGTGGTTGAGATTTAATATTGAAAAATTGATGTGATTTATCATTAAATCTCAACCACATAATGTACCACTCTAGCAAATTTTAAAAAAATTTTATTGCTCTACGGAAACACTATTGTTGGTATTCCTTATAATTAAAAAAATGATATAATTTTAATTTTTTTAGTTATAACTAAAAGAAATAAAAAAATATTATAACTAAACATAATATGAGACATAACTAAAACATTTATGAGTTATAACTAAAATAATATCATAACTAAAGAAAAAATTGATCATAACTAAAAAAAAAATAACATAATTAGAAGTGCATATTGTAAAACCTTTTTAAAGAGGTGTATATTAAAACTTTCATTTACATATCCACCCTAGGGTTTGTAGTTAGCTGCGTATAATTTTCTGTGGATAGCACAATAGAACATGGAAAAAAAATTACAAAAATATATAGAATACAAGTTATTCTGTGGTAAAGTGCAACTGAAAAGTTGTGCCACGTTTGTGTAAAAGGAAAAAGAGGGTTACATCAACTAACGAAGTTTGGTTATATAGTTATTTCATTTTTTTTAAAGAAAATTACAAAAATAATCTTAGGATTTGACTCTGAAAATAAAATTATTTTTTAATTTTATAAATTTAAATCATAATCTTTTAATTTTTTTTTTTCAATCTAAACTACTTGTATATTTTTGTCAAGTAAAATTGATGAAAAATAAATAAATTCTATCTTTTAAAAATATATGTATATATATATGCCAAATTTACTTTTTATCTATATCACTTTGTCATCTCTCTCAAACTTCAAAACCTTAGCTACTATAATAGAATTGTCAAATTCAAATTGACTAAAGTTCAAGATTTCATCTTTGCAATAAATTTATATATTATGGGATTAACTTTGCCTCATTTTGGTAATTAAAAACTTCAAGGAGTATTTTAATACAGTGAAATTGTCATTTGAATCATTTTATGATATACTAATAACATCATGGTGCGATTTACACATATTTAATGAACTACTGTATTTATTTTTATATATATACAAATGTCATATATTTTTATTTTCTATCTCGATCAACTAATGTTTTTTTTCTTATCTTTTGTCTCTTTTGTATGTCTTTTTTTCTACACAGTATAGTTGTTTTTCTATATTTTCACATCTCTTTTTCTTATGGTAGAGATAGGATTTCAATGATAGAGAGGTAACGGAGTAGTAGAGAGGTAATGGATTTTCGGTGGTTGTAGGGTGAGGAAGTTGTATAGGGAAAATGTGTGAGTGATTTTTTGACCACACTGCCAACTAAGTACTTAGCTGGAGAGCACTGGCAGAATAAATGGCACCTGGCTGACCTGCAACAGAAAGAGAAGACTCCGGTGGTGGTTCGTCCACCCGAGGGCACTCCGACGATCAAGTCAGTATATCTCTCATAGATAATCAATAGCTAAACTCATAAGCATGAGCATAAAAGTATACCTTAGACTCATGGGGGTGCCTCTCTTTTATAGCCAATACAATCCTAGTCCCAATAGGAGCCTAGCCCTAATGGACTTAGGATTACTGCTAATCTGGGACTCCTAGTGGGATTAGGATAAACTCTCTAAGAGTATTATCTTTACCCAAACTGAAGTCTTCTCCCAATCTAGGACTCTTTTTCCATATCCGCTTATCTCGGATTCCGATATCCTCGCAGATAACCTCGGCATCATGACCAGGACACGTGGCACCTCGGCTGATACGTCGGCGTCACCTTGGCCACGTGTTGGTGCTCAGAAAATATATCCCCACAACTGCCCCCTAGGTTCTATTACCTTGGCATTCGGAGGTGATGGAACCTATATCGGTACTTTCTAGTACGTCGGCTTAAAATATCGCAGCCGAGATCATTGTTAAGGCCGACATGTCTCTTTAAAGAACAAGAATTCCAAGAACCCGTTCACGCGTATGAGTTGTCATACATAATCTCGGTTTAACTTTAACTTGTAAACTTTTCTTAAGTTTCAACAAGTGTTAAACAATGATCTCAGTTTAACTTCAACTTGTAACTTGTCCACAAATTTCAACAAGTGTTGAACATCATCTCGGTTTAACTTCAACTTGTAAATTGCTACAAATTTCAACAAGTGTTAAACATCATCTCGGCTTAACTTCAACTTGTAAATTGCTACAAATTTCAACAAGTGTTAAACATAACATCGGTTTAACTTCAACTTGTAAATTGCTACAAATTTCAACAAGTGTTAAACATCATTTATAACTCTCTGCCCCCTAATATGAACTTATGTTCACATTAAGCTTGTGCACGTGATCTTGTTCGCCGAAGTTGTTTTCAAGCCGAGGTTGTTAGCCTTGATTTCTCTATTGATCTTACTTGGTTTCAACTTGAGTTTGATTCTACCGACATGGCAAGCCTATGTTACTCCAACTTAGTTCAACTCCATTATATGCAAGATTCGACTCTGCCATATAATGAGTCTAAGTTATTCATCATTATCTCAGCCTCGCATCGGCGAGCCGTTTTTCTTCTCGGACTTAAGTGCCGAGATTTTGTCTTCTGGAATCTTGGATCTGCTCACTCAGGTTGAGCTCTTCTCTTCTCGGACCTATTCATCCAGGCCGAGATCATATCTTTTGGAATCTTGGATCTGCTCACTCAGGTTGAGCTCTTCTCTTCTCAGACCTACTTATTTAGGCCGAGATCTTGTCTTTCGGGATCTGGGGTCCGGGGCCTGAAATCCAGGATCTGCTCACTTAGGCTGAGCTCTTCTATACTTGAATGTCATCTCCTTGGGAGCGCTCATGCCCCCTGCGTCCCTTCTAGAAGGGTCTTCATTCCGTTTATGTCGACAAACTCTCCATCTTCGTTAAACTTGTCGTTTTTAACACGTTGATCTTGTACGGTGATGGCCATCTATTCTTCTTTTTTTCCCACAGATGGCGCCAAATTGTGTGAGTGATTTTCTGACCACATTGCCAACTAAGTACTCAGCTGGAGAGCACTGGCAGAATAGATGGCACATGGCTGACCTGCAACAGAAAGAGAAGACTCCGGTGGTGGTTCGTCCACCCGGGGGCACTCCGATGATCAAGTCAGTATATCTCTCATAGATAATCAATAGCTAAACTCATAAGCTTAAGCATAAAAGCATACCTTAGACCCATGGGGTGCCTCTCTTTTATAGCCAATACAATCCTAGTCCCAATAGGAGCCTTGCCCTAATGGACTTAGGATTACTGCTAATCTGGGACTCCCAGTGGGATTAGGATAAACTCTGTAAGAGTCTTATCTTTACCCAAACTGAAGTCTTCTCCCAATCTAGGACTCTTGTCCCATATCCGCTTATCTCGGATTCCGGTATCCTCGCAGATAACCTCGGCCTAGTCGAGATAACCTCAGCATCATGACCAGGACACATGACACCTCGGCTGACACGTCGGCGTCACCTTGGCTACGTGTTGGTACTCAGAAAATATATCCCCACAGAAAAGATGCAAATTTTGATAAAGAAAGAGCTATGGGAGATACGGTAGGTGGAAAATTTGTAACGAGAGAAAATAAAGGTTTCAATAGAAAGTAAAAAGGTAGAGTGCGAGTTAATAGTGCCAGAAAGAGTGAAAAGGAAGTGATTTTATAATGAGAAAATTGCTAGTAGTTGATTGAATAGTGGGAGGAAAAAAAAAATATTGAGAACAAGATGAATGGTATAAGAATGAGCAAATAACACAGTGTAACTGTGGTTAAGGTGGTGGGAAAGGATTGGGGAAGGGTTCGTCAGGAGGAATAGTTAGCAATGAATAGGAACAACAAAATTTTTGGGAGGGGGAAAAAGAAGAGAGAAAGCAAAATGGGAAAATAGTAGAGGCATTGCTTTCACCCCTTTTGTAATTTTATTTATTATTACTGTAATTAAAATTTATTCCCTACCCATAAATCAAAATATTTTGCCCTAATTTTTTATTTTATTTTTGTAATTTTGTTATTCTTTTTACATTATTTCAAAAAATCAATTTATTTTCAGTGTTGACGGAGACTCCACGGACCCTAGCCGTGAAACCGTATATATAAAAAATTCTACCATACATGAAAGTGGTTTTCATGTATGGTACATAAAAAAATATAGACCATTAGATTTAGATAGAATAACGGGTTGTTTGGAATGTTCTAAATAAGTGCACTTTTTGACTTTTTAGACAAAAAAGTAGAGGAAAAAAAGATGGTTGTTTGGAATAATTTTTTGACTTTTTACGAAAAAATGTGTATTAAAATATTGTATTAAATAGCAGAATTACCATTTTACCCCTACAATATCTAAATGCCTACTGACTTGGATTGTCCAGGAAGCCAGACAGTGAGAAGCAAACATATATAGGAGCAGATTGCCTACAGTCCAAGATCGGACTGGACAATGCTTTTCAGCCCGTGGGGCCTATCACGGGTCCCGTTTTGATAATCGGAACCGGTGAATATGTAGAATTCGTCGAGTATTATATGCTTGTAAAAAATCATATTGATCGAATATCGATAGCTATCTGATCAGATTAGTTTTTTGTCAACTGTTAATTTCTTCACCGTCCAATTTGTTTTTACAAAACTGATTCCGATCAATGTGATTTTTTACAGCATATAGTATTCGACGAGTTATACACATTGAATGGTTCAGATTACCAAAACGGGACCCATGATGGGGCCCCATGAACCGAACAACATTGTCCTGTGTATCATAAGAAGTGCATCCGGTTATCTAATGTGTATCAACATTGCAGATAGCACATCACTTCAATACACTTTTTGACTTGTACTCTTTTTTTTTTTTTTGTAAATTTAGTTTTTTATATATATTTTTTTGTGAATAGTAATAACTTTTTGACTTTTTTAATAATTTTTTGGCTTTTTATCTTTTTTCATGGATGCCAAAACCAGCCGTAAATGTTAGTTGTTGGATAAATAGATAGTAAAAC